TCTAAATTCATGTGAATAATAATTAATTAAGAATTAATAACACAAATTTCATAAATGACAATAATTTTGTAGTATTCATTACATATCGAAAAATGAAAAATAATATATTATTGAAATAATTGAATTGTAAGGAGCTTAAAATTGTCCAAAAAATAATTCTCTCTTGATGTGATATTTTAATATATTTTAGACAAACCTTAAATCTGATTTTGAAAATGTAAATTTAAAAGTGGCTTTTCATGTAATTTCCACTTTTCTGAAATACATAGGCTCTATAACTATTTGGGCCAGTCCGAAGTGAGTCCAAATTGTTACATTTTTACATCTTAATTGGTGGGAAAAATTTATAATTCTTTTAACCCCTGTTTGATGTCCATTATTTCACAAAATGAAATTTCTAATAATAAATTTTTGGAGAATATATAAGTAAAACATAGAAAAGAAATTAGATTCAAGTATAAAAAATTTATTGTGAAAATGTGTGATTGAAAATGGGTTAAAAAAATGAATTGTGAAATATGAGGAACAAACAAAAATTACTTTTAGAGTGTGTTTGAGATTTCACAGACCCTGTTCCTGCTAAGACATTTGCACATACGCCCAAATCAATAAATAATATCAGAATCTGATAAATCAACCCGAACAGGCTTACTATTGGCATGAAAAATATCACATAGAAAAGAAAATATTTTCCTTGTTTTGAGAAAAACAAAAACTACCTCCACCCAAGAAAAATCTTTTCCTTAAAAAAAAGGAAAATTTGGCATGTTTTCAAAAGTTGAAAAATATTTTTTATGGAAAAAAATAGCAATCAAACACCACAAGTATGAATTTAGGTGGAAAACTGATATTTTCATCGGAAAATAAATGTAAACAAACACACTCTTAGATAAATGACATTTCTTTTGCAAAGATACGATCACATAATAATTGAAAAAAAATGTTTTAAGAAAATAATGTTGTGTTTTGATTTGATATGTTACCTAAATTAAAGGAATCCTATTATAACATTAATTGTCTGTTTGATTGTAAAGATGAAATTAAATTGAATTGAAAACAAATTTCAGGGAATTGAATTACCTAGAAATTATTTTCCTAGGAATTGTAAATTATTGTATTTTATTGGTATAAATTTTCACGTAAAAAATGTTGAAATAAAAAGTATTTTTTGGTATTCGTTTGACTTTATTTTACATGAAAATTATCAATTAAAAAGATAGAATTTACTGGTATTGAGGGTGAAATTTGTTTCTATTGCCAAAATAAAAAAGAAATAAAAAAATTCAAAAAAATCATCTATCTTTTGGTATTCGTTTGGTTTTGTTTTATATAAAAATTGTTAATTAAAGGGAAATATTTTTTTTTACAATAATTCTTAGAATTTGTTAACTTTGCCAACAAAAAAAAAGGAAAAAAAAATATGCTACAGTAACCGGAAAACCAAAAAAATATCAATTTCCAATACAAGCAAGAAAATAGAATTCCATGAAAAATAAAACATATAAAACACACAAAATTGGAAAAAAGATAGAATTCGAACCAATCAAACAGACACTAAGGGTCCGTTTGATTACAAAGATGAAATTTAGATGGAAAGAAAACGAATTCCAGCGAATTGAATTGCCTAAAAATTATTTTCTTAGAAATTGTAAATTATTGTGTTTGATTAGTATAATTTTTCACTTGAAAAATGTTAAAATAAAAGTATTTTTGATGTTCGTTTGGTTTTTTAAATGAAAATTGTCAATTAAAGGGATTGATTTTATTGGTATGGGATGAAAATTGTTTCCATTGTCCAAAAAAAAACAAAAAATTCAAAAAAAACATCTATCTTTTGGTGTTCGTTTGACTTTATTTTACACGAAAATTGTCAATTAAAAGAAAAAAATTTTTACAATGATTCTTAGAATTTGTTACCAATCTAAAAATATAAATAAAAAACAAAAAAAATAATGCTATAGTAAACCGGAAATTTGGAGAGAATTCATTTTCCTCCAAAAAATGAAAAATGTCTGTGGCATGAAAATGTGGAAAATGAATTTCAAGGAAATTTTTACCAAACAAACACCCAAAAAATGTAAAGTTGGAATTTCAATTCCATTTTCCATGAAATTTCCTTCCTATCAAACACACCCTAAGGATAATACTATGTGACGGGTTTACACCCCCTCACATGAAGGGAGTTCATGCATATTTTATTACGTGTGGGCCCCTTCCATGTGAGGGTTGTAAACCGGTGTGTACACGATTATATAAACGTAGCATTTTCTTAACTCATTTAAATTTTAACCATACATTAAAGCAAATTAGGCCCTTGTTTAATTCTTTTTTTAATACATTTGTCTTTTTTTATTTTTTTGTCAATCACACATTTTTCAATAAAATAATATTACATACAAATCTAAAACTTTTCTTTATTTTTTAACCGTACATTCTCTACGAAATCACAATTTTAAAATACATTTAAGAAAAGGGGGGGGGGGGGGGGGGGGGCTTCAAACAAACTATTAGTAATTTTATCTCTCAAGAACGGGTACATGAAAAATTGAACTTGTTTCAAAATAGCGGCCAGCCATTGAAGCACGCAACGACACGATGAAGGTATGTTGTGACATCTGTTATATGGTATGTGACCCACGTTAAACTCTATAATTGTGTGCGTGTTATTTCTAAGCTACATTTTTATCCAATAATAAATTGGATTTAGAGATGACGTACGTAAAAATTTTAAAAACAGTGTATTTTATGTTGTGTGGAGATGTAACCAATTAATTAACAAGAAATATATTAAAATTAGTAAATAAATCTTGTCGTTGCTGACATAGTGGGTATAGATGCTCTATAACAATAATATAGTTAATTACAATGTTATAAAAATCGGATCAGATCGATCAGTTTAACCGAAAAAATCGTGAACCGACCTCAAAATCAATCCATCATCATATATTAACCGGATAAATAAAAACCGGTAAAATCCATTGACCCAGCCAGTTTATTAGTAAATCGGAAAAACCAATACCAGTTTCAAATTTTTTATTTCCTTCTTTAACAAATGTTCTCTTTTGGGGCCCACTTATTAGATTAATAATACGACCATTTCCTTCGTCTAGCCTAAGGATGCTCATTTTATAGGAGAATCTTCTTCCATAGCATTGTTGAACTTCCGACGTGGGATGTGTAACTATGACTAATAATTATATACAATCTACTTGTTGCCATGTTAGCTCCCACCTTCATTTGTTTGAACTTTGATGCCTTTACGTTTTGATTTTACTTGGAAGTTACATAAAAGTAAAGGTAAAGAAAATAAAAGTAATTTATATTAATATTAAAATAATATTACACTCAAATCGAAAACTTTTCATTCTTTTACAACCATCTATTTTTCAAAAAAACAATGTTCCCAACATTATAAATCCAAATAATTGAGGGCCAAACGAGGGCTAATTTAATTTAGCATAATGATCAATACTAGTTCAATCTCGATTTGACCATTTGACTTGTAACCTTCTTCCCTTTCCAGATCGATGAGCGGGTCGATTTTTAAAACATTGATTAATTATATATATATATATATATATACATATATATATATATATTAATTTGAAATATGATTTATCATTGAATGTTAACTTTATTTTCAAGCAATCTCTCACTTCATTTCACTATTATGATTATTTAAGTCTAACGTTTGTCTGAATGATTTATTAACAATCACTTCTTTTTCTCTCTCTTAATTTTCATTATATCTGTTCGACTGTTGATTTTGGCTCGATCTTGGTTAAAATACAATATGCTTTATTAAAATAAAAATTTTAATTCATTTTAGCAAAATGAATTACAGCAATCAACTTGAAATCAAAGTGCTAGAAATAACCTAGGATGATGAAGGATAGTCGATTAGCAGGAGGGAATACTTTCAAAAAATTAATCAAACATATTCGAAAGCAACTTATTATTTTTAGAAGCAATTATTGACTTTTCAAATTTTTTTTTCAATTAGTGGACCCTTGTATAATACTTTTATTTGTTTCAATCATGACTTATCATCGTATTAATGCAAGTAAATTCAATGTGATTTTGCAGAGTTCACGAAGAACTAAAGAGAAACTCGAACCCATCCATTCTAAATAATATAGAATTGCATGAAGAGAATAAAATCGGAAATTTTTAAAGAAGATAAATTCAATAATCGTACTTTTAAACGGTGATAGCGGGCATAAATTGAGGAGAAAAAGAAGTCAACAAGCCCAAATCTTAACTAACTAAACCGCGAATTGAGTACCATGTCCCCCTTCTTTAATTTCATGTTACCCCCATTTAAAAGCAAAATAATGCCTCTTTTTGAGCACATATTTAAAAGCAAATTGCACCTTTTGACTCACAATTCATCGTTCATAAAATTTGATAAAACTCTAAGATCTAATATGACATCAAAGTTCATTAACAGCCTGTTTGCGAGTGATTTTTTGGTCCAAAAAATTAATTTTTTGACCGTTATTTCAATATTTCAACCTTCATATTTAACTTCTTCTCTCACAGGTGGATCCCACTTTTTCCCTAACGGTCAAAAAATCTATTTTTAAAATCACTCCCAAACAGGCTTTAAACTTAACCAAGCAATTCATTCATCTAACTCTCAAATGAGCGATTCAATTTTCAATAGTGATGTTTGAAATGAACAACTATCTTTCACGTCAATTAGATTAAATTTTGGACAGCCACTAGTTTTTTTGTGGACTGTGCTGATTCTTTTCATTTCTTATAAGATTTGAGTTACTACGAGCATTTTAAGTAAACTTGATTAGATTGTACAACAACAGAATAAACAAGCCACAATTCTTGAAATAATGCAAAATTAGGTCTCTCGTGGTACCAATTCTCACATGCGAAGTTCTGAAAATGTCATAATTTCAAACCCCACATCCTTCTAATTCCCCAATCTCCGCAAGACATTCCGCCTAAAGATTGAAAATCTATACCCTATATAAGGACACCAAATCAACATTTCTTAGATATGCCAAGTAAAAAAACCAAACATGAATACATTTTTCAAACAATTTTCATGTTTCTTGTTCATATTGTTTTTTACTTGCTCTCAAGTCGAAGCTAGAGATAGCAAGTTCTTTTACAAATATGTTCATTTTAGCAATAACAACAACAAAAATTATGTGACGGTGCCTAGCTCGATCCAAAGTTTGGCTCCGACTCCAGCCCCAGCTCCCCTCACTAGCCAAATCAACAATGCCCCGGCACCCCTTGGTGCAGAAATCGGAGACGTGCTAGTCCCAGCCCCTGCACCAATCGAGAGTGCAAATGCTTATTATGGTCTTTATGGTAAGGGAAGTTCTAGCAATCAATTTCCTTTCAAAACCACCACCACCACCACGACGGAAGGTGGTGATGATGAATTTTCTACTGAAGAGTTCAGAATGGAAAATTTCAACGAGTTAAATTCAAGAGAATCCAACAATTACAACAACAATTTTTACCCGGATAATTACAACAACAATGGCTACACGACGGAAAGTTATACTGTTAGGCCACAGGGGATGAGTGACACCAGATCATTGGAGAATGGCAAGTATTATTATGACATTAAGAATGATAATTACAATCCAAATAGTGGGTATGAACCAACGAGGGAAACCAACAATGAGGAAGGCTATTATAATCAAAAGTCGAAATATGAGTTCGACTCCATGGAAGAATATGAGAAGAAGAATAACTATCCAGATGTTCTACACGATAAATACGTTCCTTGAAGCAGCAAATAACTTATAATGAATGTTTTGCTGTATACTTGAATTCCATGTGATTTTACACATTTTTTGGCTTAGAAAATGCGAATCAAATGGAAGGAACATATACTATATTTAATTTTCAGACAAAAGTGAAAAGATAATCAGTGGCCATGTAACTTTAGCCCTTTATCTTTATGGATCTTTATTTGTTATATTTTTGTCCTTTATTCATGATTGTGTTCTTTACTTCATTACAAAGTTTCCTTTTTTTGTGTGGAAAAAGAAGACAGATTTCACATTAATTACGATACTATAAGATCCTTCAATGTGATAGTTTTTTGCTAGTAGTTTTTATTGGTCTCATAGTCATATTCTTTCTTATTTTGAAAAACTTGTTACAAAATAAAATTGCAAAAATCATAAAGATCGAAACACCAATTATGTTTTTGCTCCAAAGGAGCCCGGTTGTTCAATCAAGAGACCTAGTCACTCGTTGAGCGTCTATCAAGAGTTGTGCTAGAGATTCCACTAATTTCACAAAGAAAATAGTACAAAATGTGCGAGGAAATCAGAAATTTCTTCAAGTTTGTTCTAGCCTCTTTCTCACAAAGAATTTCCCTCGGAGATCTCACATAGATCACTCACATCTACTCGTCTTTACCAAAAAGAAGAGATTACATCACAAAAATTCGAAGTTCCAATTTTAGAGAGAAAGAATACGAAGAAACCCTCACACATATAGAGAGAAAATTCTAGAGACTGAATAGTTTCACGCATTGAAGAATGCCAAGAGCCAAGTAAAATATCTGACCATATAAAGCGGTTGTCACTCAAGGTTTGAGGTTGTGCCACGTGTAAGGCACAGACTCATCCTTAAGAGGCACAAACTCGCATTTCTTTAAAACACACTTAATGTTAAATCTTGGGCCTTAATAAATTTTCAAACAGCAAAGCCCAACAAGGAATAGTGAGGCAGCCCATTATTCAACATTCTCCACATTACTAAACTATTTCTTTGTTTCAACTAGTGGATTCAAGCCTTTCTTGACTTCAATTAGCTCTAAAGTACCTATAAAAGAAAAAAAAAATTAAGTTAGTACTATTCTCAACAAATGAGTTATTGAATATCACCTGATCTCAGTTTAGGTTATGTTCAGAATCTTCAAACAATTTTCAAATTTGTTAAGGGGAAGAATTTTTGTTCCTAGATCAGAAAGATTGAATTATGTAGGATTTTCAACTAAACTGACCAAGCCCTTTTCATCCATATTCCTTACAAAATGGAATTTTACGTCAACATGCTTTGTTCTATCAT